CCTAAATTTGGCCATGGACCCCCTTTCCCCTGAATGTCACGTGTTAGGATGAACCTCCAATGTTTGAAAGACATGAAATTGGGCAGGATGCACTATAGGCGGAACATATACATATAAAATATATAATACAATACATTCCAATATTACCGGTGAACCTCTAATGCCCGGAAGACAAAAATCAATCCAGTGTGCACTATAAGGTGAACCTGGAAGACAATAAATTCCAGTACACACTGTAGGTGAACCTCCAATGCCTGGAAGAAAGTAAATTGCAGTATTTACTATAGGCGAATCCCCTATTCTGTGGAGTCTTTGGCAGTATTCACTGTAGGTGAATCCCCTATTTTCTAAAGACCATTGCAGTATTTGCTGTAGGTAAATCCCCTATTCTCTGAAGACCATTGCAGTATTTGCTGTAGGTAAATCCCCTATTCTCTGAAGACCATTGCAGTATTTGCTGTAGGTGAATCCCCTATCACATTTGCAGTATTCACTGTAGGTGAACCCCCTATTCTCTGAAGACATCACAGTCCAGTATTCACCATAGGCGAACCTCCTACCTTTGAGGATCAGCTCCTCGGTGTCCTTGTCGAAGCCCTCCCGGTGGCATTTCCTCCAGAGCCCGGAGACGGTGGAGTTGAAGCGTCGGGTACAATGGCTGTCCATGGCCAGGTAGGGGCGGGGGGAGGAGACATCCCGGTTCCGATATTCCCGGTGTAACCCCAGCGGGTCCCCCACCCTGGAGATCAGGCGGACCCCTCTGGGCACCATCTCACCTCCGCCGCCGCCTCCTCGGGCGGTCCGGGTCCGTAATTGCCCCCCACGGAGAGGCAGGTGCTGGCCCGGGGTGTACATGTATCCCGGATCGTTCCTCTTGCCCCCCGGTTTCCTGCAGCGATCCCGGTGCCTCCGAGCATCCGTCTCATACCAGTGATCGGTGCTGAGCGCCACGGCCAGGAGGGCCAGGGCTGCCAGGGCAAGGCACAGCCCGGCACCGGCCAGCAGCCTCATCACACCGCAGAGGGGATCACACCCCGGGCACCGGCCTCAGCCTCAGCCCGCAGACCTGCCGCCGCTCAGTGCGGATGGAGAGAAATGAGAGGCCGGGAGGGGGGAGGAGTCTTCCCGGAGCCCCGACACATGGATGATCTATATACTGGGGAGAGGAGCGCTGAGCATCCATCTGTCCGCTCCAATCACCGAGCACAAACCACCCCGATCTCTGTCTATGAGAGGATCTGCTAGATGTCTGTGTATTGGGGGATCTGTCAGCTATCACAGACATCTATTAGGTCCCCCAATACTCAAAGATCTGACAGATGCCCCAATACACAGATACACTATATTATCAAAAGTATTGGGACACCCTTCCAAATCATTGGATTCAGGTATTCCGTGACATTTCCTTGCTACTAAATATTCCGCGGTCACCTGTTACTGGTATTATAACAAAGTGGAAGCAACTGGGAACAACAGCAACTCAGCCACGAAGGGGTCAGCCACGTAAAATGACAGAGCGGGGTCAGCGCATGCTGAAGAGCACAGTGCGCAGAAGTCGCCAACTGTCTGCAGAGTCAATAGCTACAGACCTCCAAACTCCATGTGGCCTTCAGATTGGCACAACAGGTAGTGTGTTATTCACAAGATTTCCAGATTAAAATAAAGGGTAAAAAAGGAGGAAAACGAATGCAGCGACCTCATCTAAAGACTTCAATATATTACATTGATGTGTTTTCATTGAGATACATTTATTGCAGACTGTCTCTGCCTCATTGTGAGTGTCTGTGGGTCCCAGTGTGTGGTCATCATCAATGTGTCAATGTCTCTCAATCAATATCTGACACTTTAAGTAAAACGATCTGAAGACGAGAAGATTATTTGTTCATCTAAAAAAATAACAGAAGGATTGACCACAGGAAAAATCTTCCCTAGATGAACATTTCCAGAACAATCAATCTGTTATAGCTGGAAAATGTCACCTTTTTTGTGTCTTTTACACATAATGTACAGCTAAAGACAAAACCTTTTGTGTTTTGGATAAAGTAGGGAAGGGTAACAACCTCTGATTATTATTACTATGTCCCCACTGAAATTTCCCTATACTTCCTGTCCTGGAGACACAAAAGGAAGTGACATAAAATCTCTCCAAAGTGTCCCCTATTTGACAGTTGTCACTGGGGAAGGTGTCCCCATTAAAACCTTTCCCCTCTGTTCCTGTTCTGCTGACAACTGTGCCATTTTGCACCAGAAGTCAGCACCCCTGACAGTGTTTGTCTTATCCCTCTTAGGGTCCCTACACACCTTACGATTATCGTACGATAATCGCGGGAAATCCCGCGATCGTACGATTATCGTAAGGTGTGTGGAAGCCGTGCGACCTCTACTACTGTAAGGTCGCACGACTTTAAACTTACGGACATGTTCGAAAACCCGCCGAGCATCGTACGATGTTCGGCGGGTTTGTGGCATGTCCGTACGATAACAGCCATACGGGCCGTTGTGCGCAAGCGTACACTGCCCGTTCGGCATTGCGGTCATCGGAAAGCCCGCCCCTCAGGGGGCGTGGCTTGCGATCATCGCAAGTACGATCTGCCTATGCAACATAGGCAGATCGTACGTTTTTTTAAGTACCTTACAGATTTCTGTCTTGCGATGGTTGTAAGGTGTGTGCCCAGCCTAAAGGTGCCCATACACTGTACGATTCTCGTACGAGAATCGCGGGAAATCCTGCGATCATACGAGAATCGTACAGTGTATGGAAGGCGTGCGACCGTTTCTACTGTACGGTCGCACGTCTTCCATCGAACAAGCAGGCTGGAAAACCCGCCGGGAATCGTACGATTCTCGGCGAGTGAGTGGCCTGCTTGTTCGACAACTGACAAACGGGCCGGTGTGCGCACGCGTACACTGCCCGTTTGCCGTGCTTGCAAGCCCGCCCCTCATTGCAGTCATCGCAAGCCGGCCCCTCAAGGGGGCGGGCTTGCAATGATCGCAAGTACGATCTGCCTGTCCAAGATGGGCAGATCGTACGTTTTTTTAAGTACTTTGCAACCATCGCAAGACTAAGGTCTTGCGATGGTTGTAAAGTGTATGGCCACCTTTAGTCTGCAGGAAAAAAAGGAAGCAAAAGATAAATAAATCCTTTCAAAATGCTCAAAAGGAATTGATATACCGAATCGCATCCAGTATTATTGATGTGTAGTTACAGTGTGATACTAATACAATATTTCCCACAATGAGGGTCCTCGAGGGACTTTGTATTTCAGAACAATGAAAGATGAATTTCAGTGAAGTGCAGTTTATATATTTAGCATCTTAAATAAACCTGAATAGAGGGAATTTTAAGCCGGCAAATGTCTTCTTACTTTAATAATATATAGTATACATATAAGAGGAATCCTGAATGGAGGCTATGTACGTACACTATATTGCCAAAAGTATTGGGACGCCGGCCTTTACACGCACATGAACTCTAATGGCATCCCAGTCTTCGTCCGTAGGGTTCACTATTGAGTTGGCTCCGCCCTTTACCGCTATAACAGCTTTAACTCTTCTGGGAAGGCGTCCACAAGGTTTAGGAGTGTGTCTATGGGAATGTTGGACCATTTGTGAGGTCAGGTACTGATGTTGGAGGAGAAGGCCGGGCTCGCTGTCTCCGCTCTAATTCATCCCAAAGGTGTTCTATCGGGTTGAGGTCAGTACTCTGAGCAGGCCAGTCAAGTTCCTCCACTCCAAACTCGCCCATCCATGTCTTTATGGACCTTGCTTTGTGCACTGGTGCGCAGTCATGTTGGAACAGGAAGGGGCCATCCCCAAACTGTTCCCACAAAGTTGGGAGCATGAAATTGTCCAACATGTCTTGGTATGCTGATGCCTTAAGAGTTCCCTTCACTGGAACTAAGGGGCCAAGCCCAACCATGGAGCACTTGGGGCAAAATATTAAATTGGGTGCAGGTTTATCAGGAGGAAGCCCAACCTCCCTTAAAGGCACAGGGACGCACAGGGGACCCCACACATCACAACGGCAGTTGAGACCCCCCATGCGTCACTGCACCAAATCAGTCAAGCAAAACAAATGGTAAACGCACTCATCAATTCGTTACCAGCTTTACAACAAGGTGCACACGGAAGGGCTCCAAACAGTAATACAGCAAAAAGTTTCCAGGCACACTCACCAGCCAGCATGCAAAAAAACCTGTCTAACCACTAAGGTCCCTTGTGCGTACCTGTGCCTTTAAGGGAGGTTGGGCTTCCTCCTGACAAACCTGCACCAAATGTAATCTTTTGCACCATTGGCTCCAAGATGGAGACTCTAATAGTTTATTGTTAGGACCGCACTATATGGAGGTGCCTTGACATGGCTGTGCGGCTCTCACATTTTCTGCAGAAGACGTGTATCTAAACCTCTGTTTTTAACCTTAGTGGTTAGACAGTTTTTTTGCATGCTCGCTGGTGAGTGTGCCTGGAAACTTGCCGATACTGGGTATTTTCACAAGTACTCATGAAAATGCCCCGATACTAAGTGCCAATGCCTTACACAGCCCTGGTGAAACCACACACAGCCCAGGCGAGACACAGCACACAGCCCTGGTGAGATGCCATGCACAGCCCTGGTGAGATGCCACGCACAGCCCTGGTGAGATGTTGTGCACAGCCTTGGTGAGACCCTGCACAGCCCTGCTGAAACCGCATAGCCCTGGTGAAACCGCACAGCCCTGGTGAGACCTCTCACAGCCCTGGCCGGACCCAGCACACCAATAGTCAGACCATGTAACAGCCCTGGTGAGATGCCGCGCAGCCCTGGTGAAACCTCACAATCTTGGTGAGATCGCACAGCCCTGGTGAGACCTCGCACAGCCCTGCTCAGACCCTGCACAGCCCTGCTCAGACCCCGCACAGCCCTGCTCAGACCCCGCACAGCCATGCTCAGACCCCGCGCAGCCTTGGTGAGACACCGTGCAGCCCTGATGAGACATCACAGCACTGGTGAGATCGCACAACTCTGGTGAGATTGCATAGCCCTGGTGAGACCCCGAACAGCCTCCTGAGACCCCACACTGCCCTGGTGAGCAACACAGAGTATGTAGCTTCATGTTATTCTGCATTGCTGTTCGATGTATTGCTGGGATGTGTAGTCCTCTCTAGCTAATGGTATTCTGTATTGCTGTATAATATATTGCTGAGCTGAGATTTGTAGTCCCTTTACAGCTTAGAGTCAGTGGCAGAACTACCAGGGGCTCAACATTTGCAGCTGTGACTGGGCCCTGGTGCTGCACCAATGTCTTAAAATCATTAGTCTGTATTGTTTTAGAAAAACTGTCACACGACACTAAAAAAAAGTATAGGTAATTGGTATTGGCGAGTACTTGAGGAAAAGTATTGGTACTCATACTCAGTGTGGAAAAAATGGTATTGGTCCATCCCTAGTATCTATCTATCTATCTATCTATCTATCTATCTATCTATCTATCTATCTATCTATCTATCTATCTATCGATC